TTTTTTTTTAAAAAAAAAATGCTTCGTATCCCAAAGCTGACGGCGAAAATTGTCTGATCCCATTATCGTGGAGAACCTGTTTATGGATGAAATAAGAACAAACAGGAAGGAAGACAATCAAACCGAAACAATAGGATGTCGGAAGCAAAGTTACCAGACATGAGCCAGGTGTTAGAGCTTATTTGCATATTTCCCACCTTTTATAACACACACACACACATACAAAAGCACACACACACACCCCTATTATGGCTGACTAATTGATAGTTGTAGCAATTGCTACAAGCTATCCTTCCCTTCCCAAGGTGTGCAGAGAGGCTATCTTGAGTCAAACGTTTAAGGAACATGCTCCCTCCCTTATTTACATGGTCAGAAAACCTCCCCCCCCCCAAGAGGTGCATAATGTAGATCACAGCACATAAAACAGAAGGCGCGTTCTCACAGGCAAGCATGGACACACGGACACAGCATCACCCAGCCTATGTCCCCCCCCCCCCAACACACCCTAAACATTTCTAACGCCGCGTTTGCCAAAAGCCAAAATCTTCCGAAATGTCCCCACGGATTCTTTTCATCGTTTCTTCCACTTGGGACGTCTCTATCCAGAATGTCTCGGGGGAAAAAAATAATAATAATAGGAAAGGTGAGCGATCTGCCTTCTTTGGCTTTGAATCCATCCATTTCCCAATTTCCATCCTCACCCCCATCAACCTCCCCCACCCCCCACCCCTGACCCTCCCGGTCATCTTGTACTCCTCATGCTGTTATCCATTCTTATGACGGTAGCAGCCTCTCTCGCTGTTGAATGAAACTGTCGCAGCGGGAGGGAAGGAAGGGGTTGGAGCATCATTGTCAATGCCATGGCTGTCTATTGTTTCCCCCTTCTTGCACGCTGTTGGTTCCCTGAACCTCATTCTTTACCGGTGACCCTGATCCAGGGGTAGAGGAGGAAGAAGAAATCAGCAAGAGGAGTCTTCTTTCTTCTTCTTCTTCTTCTTCTTCTTCTTCTTCTTCTTCTTCTTCTTCTTCTTCTTCTTCTTCTTCTTCTTCTTCTTCTTCTTCTTCTT